ATGTAATGGGCCAGTGTGTCTTCTTTTGCGTCAAATGTCCCGTTCAATTGATTGACCGCTAGGGAGGAATCGGAGAGTACCCGTATCGTTCTAGCGCCCAGGTCATGGGCGGCAGTCATTCCCGCTAGGATGGCCTCGTATTCAGCCGCGTTATTTGTCTTTAACGCTCTGAATCTGATTGCTATTTCGTGGACGACGCCGGTGGGTGTGCGCACAACCACTCCCGCTCCGGCGCCATGTTTGCTCGCCGCTCCATCAACATAGACTTCCCATACGCCCTCTGGGGTTGTTTCGAGAGTGACCCCTTCGGCGATGAAATCCGCTAGGATTTGAGCCTTTATTGCTGGTCTTGGCGCATATTGAATATCGTACTCTGAAAGTTCGACCGCCCATTTGACCATGCGTCCAGACACTTCCATTGAAGTCAGGATCTTTGTTAACGGGAGGTTGGTCAGGACGGTAACTTGGTGCGCTTGGAAGTATGGACGCAATTTCTGTGATGCGCTCACCAACGCCAGGGCGGCTTTCTCTATTGAGGAGTATCTTGTTTCCGCACTAACAAGGGTACGCGAAGTATAGTATACAGGTTGCTCGGTTTTGCCGTCCCTTCTGGATATTAGTACCGCGCTCACAGCCCTTGTTGACACAGCAAGATACAGGAAAAGTTTTTCATTAAGCTTGGGGGCGGTCAATACAGGAGGGGATACAAGGTATGCCTTTAGCTCTTGGAATGCCGCTTCACATTCCTCAGACCATGCGAACCGCGCGCCAATTTTGAGTGTTTTGAAGAAGGGCGCACACTTGTCAGCAGATCTTGGTATGAACCTCCCTAGCGCCGCTATCTTGCCATTCAGGGATTGGATTTCCAATGCGTTTCTGGGTGCCCGGAGTTGTTGGACCGCGGTGATTTGATTTGGGTCAACTTCGATGCCGTGTTTGGTTATCATGAACCCAAGAAACTTCCCTGCCTCAGCTCCAAAAACACACTTCAGTGGGTTCAAGCGGAGGCTATGTTTGCGAAGCGCCTCGAATGTTTCGCGCAGGTCCTCCAAATGTGAGTTGCCAGCCTTGGTTTTAACAATGAGGTCATCCACGTATGCCTCGATGTTCCACCCCTCTGTTGTGAAAACACTGAATCGATCATTCTTTGGTATGTCGCGCCCGCGTTCTTCAGTCCAAACGGCATTTCGACGAAACAGAAGTTTCCGAAGGGAGTCATGAATGCCGTTTTTTCCTCATCTTCGCGCGACATTGGGATTTGGTGGTATCCTGAGAACATGTCAAGGAAAGAGAGTGTCTCATGGTCGGCAGTCGCGTTGATCAGTTGGTCAATGCGCGGCAAGGGGTAAGGGTCTCCCGGGCACACTTTGTTGATTGTTGTGTAGTCGACGCACATCCGTCAAGCCCCTGAAGACTTTTTTACCAGGACCACGTTTGCCAACCACTTCGGATACTTGACCGGGCGGATCAACCCTGCCGCCAACAATCGCGCCACCTCCTCTTCAATGGCTTTCAGTTTGTCGCCAGTGAAGCTACGTCGCGCTTGCTGCCTCGGAGGCACGCTAGGTGGGACTGCGAGGCAATGTTGGGCTACGTGCCTTGGTACCCCCGGCATGTCTTATGTGCACCAGGCGAATAGCTCCTTATATTCCTTCAGTAGCGCTACCAGCGGCTCAATCGCGTCGTCGCGGACGTGAGTTGAGATGCGTATTTTTCTATTTGGCTCGGTTGGATCGAGCGCGACCTCGAAATCGGAATCCATTGATTCCGGGCGGGGTTCCTCTGGCTTTGTGTCGACAATGTTGGTCTGTCTGGCCTCTCCTTCGAGCTTTTGGGCTCCCCATGGCATTCCGCGCGCCTCTCCAGTTCCCATCTTGGTGGGGAACTTAACCTTCTAGTGGCACGTGGATGCAAGTGCCATGAATTTTGCTAGGAAGGGTCGCCCCAAGATGCCGTTGTGGGACGATTTGCAGTGGACTATTGTGAACTCGACTTGCTTTGAGACGCGCGGCTCTTGGTCTCCGACGACAACAGGAAGAGTTACCACACCAATGACTGGAACTCTCGTTCCGGAGAAGCCGACCAAGTTCACTTGGGCGCGCTTGATTAAGCGCGGATCAATGTCCATTTTGGTCGATGGTGCTCTGGAAGAGGATGTCAGCCGCGGTGCCTCCATCTATCAGTAGGCAGTGTATTTTGCAAGCGGCTACCAGAGCAGTGATGATGAGCAGGTCTTCTGATGGAATTCCTTGCGGCAATTCGGTGTCGTCGAAACCTAGCTGGCCCCCTGTTTGTACATCCGCCGCTACGAATTCAATCGCGCGTTCGTGCTTGGTTTTCTTCTTCGGACGATCTCCTTCCACTGTCACCACCCCTATTTCTTTCCGCACTACATACGCGCCAGTGGCTTCGTTGTAGTCGGCCTGTGGGGGTGATGGCGGGTTTTGGGGCCCCCTACTTGTTCTTCTTTTTCGTGTGTGAACTCAGACAGCAATCCTCGTCGTATGAGGACTTCTATTTCATAGCGCAGTTCTCGACAATCTTCTGTCCAGTGCCCCGTTGCTCTGTGGAAGTCGCACTGTTTTTTTGGATCACGCATGTGGGGTAAGGATCTCAACGGCGCAGGCCAATTGAGCTTATAGCCCTTCTCGCGGAGAACGTAGAACACGTTCTTTACAGAATCATTAAGCGGTGTGAAGGCGTGGGGATGTGCGCCTTTCTGGAGATCGCCCTTGCAGAGCTTGCTCTTGCGGGGGAGGGGGGTGGCGCTTTGGGCCGCTATGTAATTGCGCCAATTGGTCTCGCGGGATTGGTAGCTGTCGACGCCCCTGCTCCTCCCGCGGCAATTTCGCTGGTTCAAAACGCCTGAAAGATCCCGCTCCGAGGGTTTCTTCCAGCGTGATTGCCTTCTCGATCTTCATTTCCAATTATGTCGATAGTGTTACGGGCCTTTTTGCTAGCGCCCGCTTAAGCTCCATGTTGTTGGTGGCTTCCATGAGGTGATGGGCTGCGGTTTCGGGGGTAAGGTCGCGCACGGCCATTGCCACCCTGGACCATCTGGCGTAAAATGCCCGCAGGCTTTCTCCGTCCTTTTGCCTGATGTCTATCAGCGCCTTGAGGTGGAGAGGCCTTCTTTTTTGGGACGCGAACTTCGTCGTGAATAGGAGTATGAACTCCTCAAATGAGCGGATGATCCCGTTCGGGAGCCTGTTATACCAATCGAGGCATATTCCGGTGAATGTTGATGGGAAGGTCCTGCACAGTGCCGCGTTGGAGTTGGTTTGGAGTTGCATCCGCAAGCAGAAGGTGCTCACATGATCTTCAGGGTCAGTCGTGCCGTTGTATGTTGGGAAGGCGGGTGGCGTTCCGCTCAGGTGCTCCGCCATGATTTCCGCGCTCAATGGTTGGTGGAGGGCCTTTCTGGGTGGATTGGGGCGGTATTGCGGAGACAAGTGTTGCTCCAGGAAGCTGAGGTTCGCCCTTCCTGGCGGCTCGACTCCCCGTGCTTCGCACGCGAGGAATTCTGTTGGCGCTTGTTGGGGTGGTGGGGCGGTCCCCGACGCTTCTCCCGGGGCTTGTTGACGCGCGACTGCTGTCGCGTCCACTGTCGTCGCGGCCTCTTTGCTCATCATCAGGGCGATCATTTGGCTCATCTTGGCTTGCATGTCTGCTATGATCTCGTTCTGTTTGGTCGTTTGTTGGCGCATCTCTTTGGCCGTCAGTTCAGGTTCTTCCTCTTTGATCAAGACCGCGCTGAGGTCGCTCGCCTCCGCGAATGACCTTGAGTTCGTCATTGCCTTGATTGGGGTTGCTTCGTTGGTGGTGACGTTTGGCTATGATATTTGTGATCTTTCCATTCTATCGCTTCTCTGCTCTGGCCCCACGGTGGGCGCCAATTGTTTGAGTCCAACTGAGAGTAGGAGGTAGACTCGTGAGAAAGAAGGGTGAGAAGAGTAAACAATAGAAAGGTTTAGACACCAGAGCTTTTAGAGAGAGAAAGTTCTTTGTTGTAGAATGAGAGAGTGAAAAATGCCATCCCCTCACCCACCGGAGTAAATGCCGTATTTATAGGCTACAAGGTGTTGGGTGAGTGGTTGAGTTACATGATGGTACAATGACAATGACATGACCACTTACATGTCAGGGATTTAGGCCATGCCTCTACTTAGGTCATGCCTCTACCTAGGACATGTCAGAGGTGTACCTACGACCATATCTAGGACCCTGATGTGACTATCCCTCGGGAAACGCGATGGGGATTTCTGTGGCTCTGTGGTCTAGTCCTCGCTTGGTTCTTTCTACTCGCGCGTAGCCTGTGCCGCGCTCAAGGTCTTCGCGCCAAGTCGTACTGGGGGCCTTTGATCGCGTCGCGCACTATCGGGTCTGGCGGCATCTGGGCTTGTGTCAGCGCGTTTCCCCGTCGCGGCTAGGTCCGAGTCACATGCCCAACAAACCTAAACACTCAAACTGCACACGGAAGATTGAATTGATGACTAATTAATTCTAAATTAAATTCTTCTATAAAAATAATTCTAAATTAGATTCCTTTGCAAATTCGGCAACATGTAATTTCAATAGCTCCAACAATACATATAACATGCAATTTTTTTTACTAGTGCAAACAATAATTATTACCACAGTCTTACACTTGACTATTATCGATCCAAACGGTTGATGAATAAGTAAATTATTCGGTCTTCATTGTACCATAGCAGATTGAATGAAATATATTTTGATTCGACTTTGATAGCATCCATTTTCTTAATTAAATAAAATGACCAAAGCAATCGATCAAATTGGACCAGGTCGCATGGACAATCAATCTAAATTATGATCCACCTTTTCCCGTCCTCTTGGATCTAGATTCATCATCGATTCGATATGGTAATAGTGTCTAAATTCAACGAACCATGTGTGTTTTTGGTCTAACAATTATTAATCAGTTCATCAAAAATTTATTAATCAGCAGGAAAATAACTAACAGCTCAATAAAGCACCGAGAGGAGATAATTAGGCAATTAATATTTCCAAGGGAAAAGAAAGAAATAAAAAGAAAAAAAGATAAACAGACTGGATAAAAGAAAACAAAGAAAGGACAATGAATAAGCAAGAGAAGACTCCTTGGAACTGTCATAATAAACTTCCATGGTAAAAAAAAATCACTTATGAACAAAGAAGAAAATTTACAGTGCGAAACTAATCAATCTGTTCCCAAGCTTCTAACTTTCCCGATCTCCTCTTGAACAACAAACTCGGTAAAAAAAAAGTTACAGTCAATCACCATCTTTAGCCCCTTCCTCTACAAAGTTACCAAGGGGTAAGAAAAAAAAATTACAGTCACAAAGTTACCGTCTGTTGAGATGTGGGCCCCCCACACACACGCACTTCCTCCGGTACCGAAAAGAATCAGAGGAATCGCCTCGAAATTGTGGGGGCAGAAAAAAGAAAGGGATTGATTGAATTATGTACAGTAGAAGGAATCGGAGATGCGGAATCAGTACGAGTAAGTCAATCGATTGACCCCTCGATCCCTCAGGATCCCGGAGTAGAGCGCCCGCCTGTTCTCCGGCATTCCCCTCTCCTTCGCCGACCGCGGCGGAGAACCGTCGCCTCCCTCGCGGCACCTCTTCTGCGACGAGGACGACGAAGCGGCGGCTGAGGCTGCGGAGGAGGCGGTTAGTTCGTTCATCTTGGCGGCGGCAATGGCTTCGCAGTGTTTTCTGAACTCGTCTCCGTTCCCTCTCGGCTCCACCACGTCCTCCGCGAAGCGGACCTTCTTGCTCTTCTTCTTCTTGCTCTTCTCGCTCTTCTTCACGTCTTCAACCAAAAGAATTTCAAAAAAAAAAAACGCAAAATCCAATCAGCTCAAACAAAAGGGAGAGGAAGTCAAAGAAAGAAGGAGGAGGTTTCACGAGGACTGGAAATTCACGTACCGGAGGAGATGCAGGATCGCAGAGACTGCGACCGGTGAGCGATCGGCGGCTGGCGGTGTTGGTGGTGGTGGATGAGGGAGAATTGAGCGGCGGCAGGGATGGATTTCTGGAGGCGGAGGGCGAGGAGGATGACGGTGCCGGAGACGGCCATGGCGGTGGCGACGACGACGCCTTGCGAGCAGAGCATCGGGGACATAGTTGGCGGATTTTCTGTTGAATTGTTCAACGGAAGGTGGGGAGAAGACAAACAGAGGAAGCAAGGAAGAAGACGAAGCAGCGGACTGAATAAAAAGTGTGGGCGGGGGCGAGAGAGAGAGAGAGGGAGAGAGGGAATATGCTGTGGCAGCGGTGTACGGGGTGGTAGTGTGGGGCACTTTCTTTTTTCCTTTGCGGACAAATATATATATTTATATCTCGGGAGAATTAATAAATAAGAAATATTAGGACAGATAATACGACTTTGAGTGGTACTTTGATTTGCTTTTGCGACCTTTGGGAGACCTGACCTACTAATAATACTACGAGGAATATATATTTATATTCATGTGGAAATTGGGATTAGTTTGATTAAATTACTAATTTTTGGTACCTAATCCGAGTGTGGAAATAACTGCGTGGTGGGTGGGGAGCTTTTGGTTTGCTAGTTTTGTAGAAATTAGGGGGGAAAAGGAAAAGGAGAAAAAATTGGACGAAATTGGCAAATATTGATTCTTGGGGGAGCGAGAGAGGGAGAATGGGAAAGGAAAGGAGTGGTAGTTGGTTTAAAGAAAGTGGATAAAAGTGGTTGGTGTTCCATTAATTTTCCTTCCAAAACTACATTCTTCTTTTTTGAACTAAATATCGATGAATTTCTCTCTCAAACAACAGATTTCTTAATTGTTTTAAAAACTTCAAACTAATTTTGACATATGTCATGTAGAGCTGTTAATGAGCCGAGTCGAGCCGAGCTTTGCCATAGTTCGGGCTCGGCTCGTTAATATATTTCTAGGCTCGAGCTCGGCTCGTGTTCGTCACGAGCTTTAATATGCAAGCTCGAGCTCGGCTCGTTTATGAAAATGAAAGCTCGAGCTCGGCTCGAGCTCGGCTCTCAAATAAGCTTAACGAGCCCAAATTCGAGTTCAGCTCATAAAATGTTCATGATAGCTCAAGATTGACCTAAAACTGCGCACAAAATTACATTCAAACCTGTAGCAAAGTCTAGCAAAGTAAAACACAATATTTATCCCAATTTCAATACATAAAATCCATGAATTCTAATATTTTTTTTATGCCAAACCATTAAATGAGCTTGTTCGCGAGCTTTCGAGCTGAACATGGTATGGCTCGAGTTCGACTCGTTTAGTTAACGAGCTTGTTCGCGAGCCGGCTCGATTAAAACGAATCGAGTGTCGAACGAGTTTTTCTCGAGTCGCACACCGAGCCGTTCATGAGCGGCTTGGTTCATTAACAGCCCTAATGTCATGTGACATAGAGATAGAGAGTGTGTTGATATCACGATCTCGTCGTTCAATTACCTGACAAAGAATCGATTACGACTTAAGAAAATGAAGTTTACTTCGTGATCAGTTGTATAATTATCCGGTGGGAGAGAGATAAAGGAAGTAGCACCGGGGAGGTTTAAGAGAGGTAGATCGATTGGCGTCCGTCAGCCATGATGTGTCCGATCAAAATCAATATCCCCTTTCACTTTCCTTGGAGCCATTTCCCAAACACTGGAAATAATGGTTTTTCTGTTGCTCTGTTTTCTTCCCTCTATCTCTCTAATCTCTATGGAGGGTTTTGAAAGATAGGAAAACGACATCGTAACCAATCTGGAACATGCGAGTCATGGGATTGGTTTGGTCTTTTCGCTCTTGATTTTGACTACTACTGCCGCCACCACCAACAAATTGCCTCTCCTCTCCTCTGCCTCTTCTCCTTCACTCGTTTCCTGATTGCTACCAGCCCTTCATCAAATCTTTTATCAGTCCCATTTGCTCTTTTAAGAATTCTTGATAATTAGCCTATATATTCATGTTCTAGAAGCCTAGAAAAATAGATGCATATTTATCGTAGATGAAACTCGAAAGTGGTAGTCGTTTCAGAGATATTCAATCTATTATTTCATTGATTATCCAATTAAAAAAGTGGAAAAAAATCATTTCGACAGCCATCAACTTGATCGTATAATCGAAGTCAAATGATTGAGCTACGTGTAGCGCATGAGGTGCTGCAAATCCCTTCAATATTCGGCTGCTCGAGGTTGTAGTTAGTGTATGTTCAACAATATATTGCACGCGTAAATGTTGCCGAGTGATGTAGTGGTGCGCTATAGACCCTCTATGTGCTTTTAAGTCGCGACTCTACATTTAACTGAACTGTCACTATTAATGAAGAAATCTCGGTGCAACAAGTTATGCAAAGCAAATGATAGATATGTAGCTAGGATGCTTGGATGCATGCATTTGCACGATGAATGTGAAGTACTAGCTATAGTATGTGTTTTTGGATGGCCGGTGATCTAAATATGGGACTGGTCACTGTTAGCACAATGGTAGCAAGCAAGCAACATCGTCTTAATAAATGGCATCGATGCTGATTCATGAATCAATGGATTCCAACTTTCCACATCATTTGATAATGGCTTCAACTTGGCAACTTGGTAGTGGTGCATTTTGGAATCCGCTGCTTTTATAATCTCGTAGAGTTTGGGTAAACTGTGTAGCCCAACCAAGTGGGTGGCTTTTTGAACAGAAAACCAAAATCAAATCATGTATGTATGTCTCTATCTCTTGCCATATATCTGAACTTCCATTAATTGTATTATTCGTTTTCTTTCAAGTTTTGAGTCATTTTTGTGGATATAAATCATGGAACTTATAATTTGTTGGTCACGAACTCGATCGTTTTTAGCTTTTGCCCACTACTGCAACTTCTACACTTCTTTTCCACAGATTGTGATTTCCTTTTATGGCTTACATTACTGATTGGTGTATTTCTTTTGTGGCCTTTTGGGGATAAGTTGGTACAACTTGTGTAACGTGTTTGACGTCTCCATTCACATTCATAAAACTTACCCACCATTCTTGAATGACCACTATTCTTAGGACGATGGATCAATGGTATACCACATTTGGATTTTGGAGTTCTTAAGAAAAGAAAGAAAGAAAAAAGAATTTTGTGAGCTAACTAGCACTACCATTCAAACCCCTAACCTCTTGTTATCAGCTGATACATGTATCGGCAGACTTTTGTGGTGTAAAGATAACTTTAAATAACACATTCATTTACGTTTTTCAAGGGTAAATAAGTTTGTCCAAATAACGTCGCCACTACAATAAACCATATGAAAAACAAACTTCTGAATGAATGCGTGATGAATTCATGAATGAACATTTAGTGGGTTACATTAAGAGTGACATATTTTGTAATATGGATAATGAATGTGTACTTTAGAAACATTTCAGAATATGAAAATATGTAATAGGTGTCAAAATCAAAGCAAAGAATACGAACACCGAGTTTAACATGGTTTCCCTGATCAACAGGACTAGTCCACGAGAGAGGCAGAGCTCTCCAAGTCAATCTTATTGCTTTGTTACCAGTACACACGTGAGATACAAGTATATATACAGAGGTTCGATTAACCCTAATGACTAAGGACTTATTGTACAATTACAAACTGATACTTATATTTTTAACACCCTCCCTCAAATTGATGTTGGGTGCGAACATCAATTTGGCTGATAAGTACCAATATCTGCTGGATGCTAATGCCTTAGTCAATAGGTCTGCAGTCTGATCATCAGTGGACAAATGATACAACTATATTCTCCCTTCTGCGACCAACTGTCTAATGTAGTGAACGTGAACCTCTATGTGTTTCGTCCTGTCATGTAGTACTGGATTTAATGCTATCTGTATGGCGCTTGTATTATCGCCAAACAGTTTCATGGGAATGTGACAATCAACTCCCAATTCACCTAACAGACGTTGCAACCACACCATTTCTGAACTCACTTCAAACATGGATCTATACTATGCTTCTGTTGATGATTTTGAGAACCGCTCCTGCTTCTTACATCTCCACGAGACAAATGACTTTCCTATGCGTATGCACCACCCTGAAGTAGAAAGCCTGGTGTCTTGATATTCGGCATAATCTGCGTCTGCATATGCCTCCAACACTGCATCTCCTCCGACTGGAAAGAACATCCCTGCATCCTGAGTATGCTTGAGGTATCGAAGAATCCTGTGAACAGCATCCAAATGCTGACCTCGAGTCACTCCTAGGTACTGACTCACAACTTGGACAGAATAAGCGATATCCGGCCGAGTATGAACCAGATATATAATACTCCCTACAAGACTGCGGTATAGTGACTGGTCTTCTATCAAATCTCCACTATCCTTTCGCAATTTCAAATTCTGTTCCATAGGAGTCGAGCAAGGTTTACAGTTTGTATACTGTGCAATCTCAAGAAGATCAACAATTGTATTTCTTCTTCGAAACAAAGATACCTTGCGTTGACCTCTGTACCTCCAAGCCTAGGAAGTATGACACGTCTCCAAGATCCTTTAAGTTAAAAGCTTTATGCAGAGAAGCCTTTAACTCTTGTATGCCTGCAGAATCACTTCCTGAGATGATCATATCATCTACATAAATCAACAAAAACACCACTCCTTCAGCCGTGTTCCTTATAAAGAGAGATGGATCGTTCTGACTCAGTTCAAACCCCAACTGAATTATCGTACTGTGAATTTTTTCAAACCAAGCTCGTGAGGCTTGTTCTAGGCCATAGAGAGATCGAACCAGCTGGCAAACCATGTCGGAAGACCCTTTTGTATAGCCTGGTGGTCTCTCCATATAAATAGTCTCTTTAAGGTCTCCATGCAAGAATGCATTCTTTACATCTAATTGTAAAAGCGGCCAACCTTTCATTGCAGCTACAACAAATATACAACGAGCAGTTTGCATCTTTGAAACTGGTGCAAACGTTTCATCATAATCAATGTCGTATTCTTGGAGAAAACCTCGAGCAACTAACCTTGCCTTGAATCTCTCTATTGTGCCATCTGGGTTCATCTTTATTGTATATATCCATCTACGTCCAATAACTAACATGCCTGGCTGTCTAAGAACCAACTTCCATGTACCATTTGCATCTAAAGCCTCTGTTTCCTCTACCATAGCAAGATTCCATCTTGGGTCATTACAAGCTTGTTCATAAGTTGCTGGAATAAAGCACGGTTCAGCAACATACCCTTAATAGTCAAGAAGACGGACCGGAGGCTGACCCAAATTTGCCCTGTTTGATTACGGAGCTGATGCGGTTCATTTTCAAATTCAGCCAACGAATGACTATTATTTCCAGAATCAGTACTCCCA